GATCTGTGATTAATTAAAGATCTCTGTATATACAGATGCAAGCTTTGTATTTCAAAAGAAAATCTTTATTATCAAATTTGTAGATGAATACTTATTATAGAGGAATAACTGAGATATCTCTCTGTGATCTGCTAGTACTTTCATATGTATTCTGCAGAGATATACTATTTCATTCTCACTTAACAGTGTTCTTAAATTCTTTGTAATGTGAGTGTTTTTCAACATCTGCTCAGTGATTCAGTGAATCTAACAGTTGAGATCTATGAATTCTTGAAGTCAGTATGAATGCTGTTGATGTTGCTGTATTGTTGATAACAGTAAAAACAGTATTAGAAAATAAATTTTGAGACTTGTTAAAGTCTGTATGTGAATGTGAATAAGAGAATACATCATTAATTATTTAATAAGAATTATCTTTGACATTTTCAACTGTTATAATATGAGTAGCTCTGTGTTTTCATATTCTGCAGCCTTCAATGATATTAGCTTCATCAAAATCAGCACTGATATTATGAGCTCTAGATGCAATGTTTCATGTTTAATTATCTATCACAGCTGAATGGGTATTAATATCAACATTAGAACCTGTTGACTCTGGTGTTGAATTTGATGTAGAAAGGATTGAAACATTATAATGTTTATACTCATTATTTTCCTCCTCTATTTTTTCAGAGCTTTGAGCATTTTCTTTGAGATGGAAAATATCAATATCTGCATCTATAATCTCTTTCAATTGATTGATAGAAGTCATCAATAATTCTCAAACTTTCATATATAGAAGCTTCATCTTCTTAGATACTCAATCTCTTAGTTATCTTTCAATGTAGAAGTCTTCTGAGTTGAATTTTCTATTCTCATTAAACATCACATCTCTTGCTCTTATCACACATTCTAAGTGTGGAATTCAAATTTGATAGATGTTTGTAGAATCATATTCAACTAGATATTTAATATATGCTCAGAGATCTAGCTTCTGAGAGCAGTTTCTATTGAGGACTTCATTCAGTATCTTGACATAGATGCAACATCTGTAGATTCAAGAATGAGTATAGAAGTAAGGTTTGATTTGTAGAAATTCTTTCAATATTCATAGAGATGACTTTCAATCTAGAATTCTAGTAGAGATTCAATTCGCTAGATAGATGGCAGTAAGTGCAATCTCAGGGAAAAGTGATTGTGACAGAAGAGATTCTATTCATAGAGTTCTTGCCTTTGTTATTAATATTACTCCTGCTTACTCTGCTGCATTATTTTGCTTATGAATATACTCTGAAGAATACTCCATCTCTAGATCTTTATTATTCACTCAGTTTATGAAGTCATCTGCTTCCTTGACTGCAGTATCATTGTCAATATGAATGATCTTTGTAGTACAGTTGAATTGTCATTTAATTCAATTAATAGCTTATCTAAGAGCTTTTCATATTTCTGATTTTCAGATAGCTGTTATAGCTATATGAAAACAGAGATAATTGCACATGAAATGTATGAGATAACGCTCACCATTATAGCACTGTGTAGAGTCATGTGTGATATCCGCGTGTAGGCGTTTGAATGGTATTTGAGATCTAACATGAGAATGTCTAGATATTTGATTTTTTGCTTTAGATAGATGGCAGAGTTTACAAAGCTCAGTTGTAAGCTTGTTCACAGCATCTTCTAGATAAGTGATTTGAATGTCAGTTGCATTATTTGTAAGATTTTAAATGGTGATTTTTGAAGAATGTTCTAATCTCTTATGCCATGTAGACTGTGTAGCTATAGAGATCTTAGGTTTTTGAGAAGGTTTTGTGTATATTAGCAGTTTAGAAGAAGAAGGATTTGTAGAAGTTATAGAATTTGAAGATATCATTTTTTCAGATATAGTGATGTTAGAAGAAGGATTTGTAGAAGTTGAAGAATTTGAAGATATCATTTTTTCAGATATAGATGTGATAGCTGTATCAGCTTTGATAGTGAATTTTTCTGAGATAGTTGAGAAAACAGTTATTGCACTATATTCTGTAACTAGCAATCTCTCAAATACTTTAACATGTGTAAAGATTATATTATCTGTGTGTTTTCACAATCTGAAGTCTTTTTCATCATAATAGATGCCTTCTATATGAAAACATGGTTTTCATGCAATGATATTTGTATGAAAATTCAGAATGTAAGCTGTGTTAATGAGATTAATATTGAACTGCTTTTCTGCTTCATTTATTATTATAGTTCTAACAGTTTTATAATCTTCAACTTTAGTGCTGAAATCATCTGTATAGACTTTCACATTCTTGTTCACAGGTTTAAAGAATAGGAAATGTGTTTGATTATTATATATATACTGTTCCACGCCAGTATCAAAGATTCAGAAGTTTTAAAGATAGAAGTATGAATTTAAAGAGTTCATCAATATTTTTCAGATCTGCTGATTAATAGATTGATGATTGATAGATTGATGATTGATAGATTGAGAAACTGATTACTTCAGAATCATTTCTTCTAGAACTACTTTATTAACATCTATTATATCTGTATTTATAAATGATTCTCTAGATATCACACAATCAATATATCTCTTTAATTCTTGATTTTTAAGAGCTTGATTGATCTGAGTTCTCTTCTTCTCATTTTCCTTTCATTCAGATGACTTTCTTAATGAATTAAGATAGTAGTACTGAGTGTATCAGTAACAGACTCTGTAGATGTAGTTTTCAAATATTGCTGATAATAATTACTGAGATCTTTTATTAAGAGTAGTAAAGTTCATAGATTTATCTTCTTTAAAAATACTCATTTTCTTATACTGTTTCTTAAAGTTCTTAACTAACTCTATCAAAGATATGATATCTTTATCATATCAGATATTCTTAGTTCATACTTGTATATAATCTGCATTAATAGCTAGATTCATATTTAAGAAATCTTTCTTTAAGTTAAACTATTCAGCTATATCTGCTTCTTTGATATCATCTTCAATAAGAAATCAGTCATTTAATCACTTCTCTATACCTCTGTTTTTCAGTGCTTTGCAGAGATCATGATATCAGATTCTCACATTATCTTAATAGTTCACAGTTGTAAGTGAGAGACAATCTCTTAATAAATGAATAATGTTCTTTATATTATCATTCTCACTATTTACATGTCATAGTTCTGTGACATTCACTGTTCTTTATATGACATCTCTTATCTTTGTCATATCTTCATTCAATTTCTCATATTTCATATATTTGATTTTCCATGCAGTGATCTTAATGTCATATGCTATCTTAGCCTCTGCAGTGACTTCTTCTGAATACTCAGATTTCAGAGATTCTTCTAGTTCAGAGAAGATATCAGATTTATCAAGATTGATGAAGTCTGATACCTTCTTGTCCTTTGCATATCCTAGCATATGCTTGTACCAAAGTTTCCAATCTCCAGGAACGCTAAGGTGTACAGTTGCACTAGACATTGTTTTGTCTGTCATATTGGTTATATTGAATGAATTGAGGAATCAGTTCAAGTATTTGAGAATATGATCAGAATTTGAGGTGTGTAACAGTTGAGTATGTCGGAATGTATACAAGTGAGGATCTATCATCTCAGTTCGAATGATAGTTATCAGTTTGAATGAGGATTGGGATTGGTGATCAATTGTCGGGAATCAGGTATGGTATAATGGTTGAGAATTTCGGACTGTATACAGATGAGGATCAATTGTCTCAGTTCAAATGATTGTTGTCAAATTTGAATGAGGATTGGGATTGATGTATCACGCTTCTCTTCAGATGCTGCTTACCGGGCTCATAACTGTCGAATTGGGTGTCACGGATGGATATGTTGGAGACATATGAATCTTATGTGTATCAAGATCTGCTTGTTATATTATCTGTACCCTATCTCATATATCTATTTCATACAAAAGATAGAGCTATTTATAGTAAAATATATGTGCGAGCCAAGAGAGCTAGCATAAGTGAGTATTAGATGAACATTGTAGTAAGCTGATGATGATGAGAAATATGTAGTAATACGATGTTGGTGCGTTCAGTAGTGTATACCTCTTTTCCCTGACACAATATGCTTCACAAAAAGATCTACAGGGAAATCAATCGCGCGGATTGTATGGCTTCATTGCTTCAAGTTCTTCTCACAATTTCTCTGTTGCGGCATCTTCTTCCACGTCGCGGCCGACGCTTTGATGTAAGTTACCTTCTAACGATAAAATTACAGGGAAATCTATCGCGTAGATTCATGGTCTCCCACTCCACTGCTTTTGGATGACTGCCTCGTGCGAGCTTGAGCTTGAGGTGCGGAGACCACCTATGGCTATGTTGTCCATCCTCCGCTCAGCCCTTGGTTCAGTCCTTGTTTTGGACATGAAATACATCCTATTATTTCTCCCCGAATTGATGTCCTTCCACGACCTGGCCGTCCATCGCAAGCTCCCTATTCGACTATGACCTAGCCCCTGAATTCATCCAGTGCAGCGCCCATGCCTCAGCCAGAGACAGCTGTAATATCTGACATGGCTCAGTCTTTAATTTGGTCCTGTTTTGGATATTAATACCTTGACTCCGCCCATGAAATATGTCCTCTTATGTCTCTCTGAATTGATATCCTTCCACAACCTGCCCGTCCTTTGAAAGCTCCGTACTACAGGGCCACTCCCATCAACACTAGGACTATGACTCAGCCTGTGAATTTGTCCGGTACAGCGCCCATGCCTCAGCCGGAGGCAGCCGTACTTGATGCCTTCCTCCCTGGTTACTCCTTCTTGTCACGGTTATTTTCTTCCTATTTTCGTGTTGACATCTCATCATATCTTCTCCTTATTGTTGCCTTAGTGGCAATCGGCAGATCCCCGCGGTTTCACTCCTTTACAAATTACTTGAGCACAAGCATGGAGATTCGGTCCGATGATGAACTATTTACCGACGTTCTGTACTGGCAAACTAAGCAACCATTTTCCAAGCGCTCATCCTCTATCATCGCAGAAACGAAGGCGCGGAGTGACCTGCTCTAGAGCACCAACGATGACGGTAAAGACAGCGGTAGCGATGAGGCGAACAAGCAAGCAGATGTCAGCTCAGAGAACTAGCCCCAAACAATCCGGCATGACATGCTTAGGAAGCCACGCTATACCTCCACCGGCCCAGTCCACTTCTGGTATGGGTGGCATCTGATTTGCTTGGAACAAAAGCCATGTCAAGTCGCTATCCCGTGGATGCCAGACGCTGGAAAAACGATCCATCTGACCTGCTACCCAAAAAGCCGATCAGCCTGTGAACTGTTAATAAATGATATACAACAGCTTCAGATCGAATGTGACAGCAAACGTGTTGCCATCTTTGTCCCTCGAATTTCCCCGATCAATTCCCAGTGGGAACTATATAACTATAAGCCGCTTCGACCTTTATCAACTGTGGTGTTGGGTGCCGAACAGAAAAAGGAGCTCCTTATGATATCAAGAACTATCTCCGTACAGACGCACGCGGCTGGCATCAGAGTCGCGGCATTACCTACTGATGGGGTTATCTTTTCTCCGGTCCCCCCGGCACAGGGAAAACCAGTCTGGCCGTAGCCATCGCCAGCGAACTTCATCTGGGGATCTATGTGGTCAACAATCTTGGGAACATCACAGAGCAACAGTTGAGCGACTTATTCGGAAACTTTCCCAAACGTTGTGTTATACTGCTGGAGGATATTGATTGCATTGGCATCCCCTGAAAAGATGGATGTTCTTCAACATCTACAGGTTCTAAGGATGGAAATGTTACCGCGGGGCATGGCTTCCAGAATGCATTGAGGACTGAAAAGGAACCTGGGATACTATCTCTTTCTGCTGTGCTCAATGCCATTGATGGCATTGTTGCTCCGGAAGGGCGTATCCTGGTGATGACCACCAACCATCCTAAGGATCTAATAGAGCGCTCATTCGCCCAGGCCGGGCAGACAGGCGCATTTCCTTCGGCTATGCAGATAAAGGCATTGTTCAAGAGCTTTTCCACTCTATCTACGGAATTTCCAATGATAACTCCAGCCAGGCCCTTTCCAGCGAGTTTGTAAACCACATCCCTGAAGGCAAGTTCACGGCGGCAGAAATTCAGGGTTATCTTTTATTAGTGCATAGGATGAGTCCCAAAGATGCAGGGGTGTAGAGGTTTGGGTGCAATAACAGTTAATAATAGTAATAATACAGGTATTTAATACACTAATGTACACACTAAGAGCTCGTGCTAATTGTGGCCTCGCGGCCAGACAAGGAGATAGAGATTGCGAGATTGCGGGTTCAAATCTGTGGCTTTCGCAGATTAATAATTAAGTTAATTGGACCTGGGCCTTCCGAGAAGAACCGGGTGATGTCATACTCAGGCACGGGTGGCGGGCATGCCTGAATCCTTGGGGGCTGAACCATCCTTATCAAGGGGGTGGTGTTGCTTGGCTTGGTAGGCTTGGCAGCTTGGCCTGCGGGGTGGCTCTTCTGGAGCAGTTGTAACAGTATGGCCCGGGGTCAGGGGGGCAGGCGCAGGCGAGCCACCACTACGCAGCGTATGGATGCCGGGCGCGGCTGGCAACTTGGCAAGCAGCCAGCCGTCTTATCCCCCTCGTCTGGCAGTCCTTAAACCATGATACAGTTTCACACATTATTTTATATTAATTTCTTTCTAGTTCAGTGATATGATTAAATAGAGAATATCTATTTTATATATAAGTTTTTAATATTTTCTATAATAGCAGAGACATAACATAAGTGCTGCAGCAGTTAAGAAGAGTATTGAATTTTTTATAAAAAGTCTTAGCTGTGAAGCCTGTGATAACTATCACTTAGAGATGTTCACTGAACTGCAATATTGCTAAGAAAATAAACAATACTCTGTCTGATATGTATAATATGATTACAGAATAAGTGACTCTTCTTTTCATTTTTCATTTATACATTAATCAGTTACTCTTATTTCTTCTTTCTTCAGCTTGTCTTTACTCAGAGTGAGTCTTGATTTTGTGTTATTGTTATATAATTTCATCTCTTCTTTTGCTCGAATATACAGACAGGTGATCTTATATCACACTAATAAGAGCTAATTGTCATGATAATATATATTCGTTGATATTTCCTCTTTCTTTGTTCTTTTCTTTGTTCTTTTCTTTGAGTTGAGTTGAGCGTGTCATTCAGAATCTTTTTTGGATTTTTTGGACTTTTTCTCTTCTTCTCTATTCCCTTCTCGTTTCTACTTGCATGTCTACTTCTCTATTTTGCGTGACCATTTCGTTTTCAGGACGATTTACTTAACAAGTAACTAGCCAATAAAATTCTAATTTGCGGGCTAACTATACCCTCATATTGGCGCTAGCCGAATAAGAAAAAAAAAAAAAAAAAATCTACAGCAGCTGCTTTGTTAGAGCCATAGAAAGTAGAGGTTAAACTCTTCCACTGGATTTTGATTAAATTAAAAAGATGATTTCAATTCAAAAGATTACTTGCTGCAGGCCCCACACTGCCCTAGGATGAAGCGAGCAAACAAAAGTAAGATTTAAGTACACAAGGAACTACATAGCAGTAATTAAGGGAAGTCAAAGGAGCATGACATCTGCATGTGAGTCAGAAAGAAAGGAAATGAAATATGCAGGCAAGTACAAGGAGTGAGATGATGTAAAGATGTCCATGAAAAGAAATGAAGAACCCAGAACATCACCATCATTGATTGTACCCGCTGAAACGCCCAGCCGCTTACACAATGACATCTTGATCGTAGAACAAGTCGCAAGCATGGGGGTTCTGCAGGCAGTACTTGGGTTGCAGAGGAGAGGCCTGGATGTTATTGGCCAACAAGTACTCTCTGAAGTTGAGGATACGGCTTGTCATCTCGGTCGTGCGCTTCTTCCCCTCGCTGTTGCGGTTGCCGGACCAGACCAGCTCGCCCAGAGCAGCGGCACGAGGCCAGAACTTCGTCGAAATGACAGCGTCGTCAACCTGCTCAGACCACAGAGGTGCCGCAGCGCCAATGACGTGTTTCTTCTCAGCGTCGGTGAGGTTGTATGTGAAGTCGTAGTTATAGATACGCTGCCAGGTCTTATAAGGGGCGCACCAGGAGCCGCCAGGTCCAAGGTAGTTGTAGTTTGGCTTGGTTGGGTCTGGGTTGATCATGACGTTGTATCGGGGGTCATTGCCGACCCAGCCGCCGAAACCGCAGTCAAGGTAGAGGAAATCGGCGGAAGATACAATGACGTCGTAGCCTTGCGAGGTGAGTTTCTTGATGTTGTCAGGGCCCAGGTTCCAGGATTGCATGATCACGTCCTTGGGGACTTCGCGGGCATGCATTCCACCGAGAAGGACGTCTTCCCACATGATGAGACGACGAGATGGGCGGTCCTTGAAGATAGGATAGGCTTTATCAACCCAAACCTGAAGGAGGTCGTTGAAATCACGGTTGGGGTCCTCAGCAAACCAATCCCGGATAATACTGCTGAAGTTGAAGCAGTTGGGGTGCACTTCATCACCGCCAGTGTGGAAGAAATTGTCGGGGAAAAGTTGCTTGACTTCCTTGTAGACGTTCTCAACAACCTTGTAGGTTTCGGGGTAAATGATATCAAGTTGGCCTGGGTTGGGTTCGACCGCAGTGTGTAATGGCCAAACGTCATTGGACCACCAAGAATTGGCGCAAGCGATCAACTTGGGGTCAATGTCTTCCCAGCCTTTTGCGGAATGGCCTGGCATATCAATTTCCGGGAGGACACGAATTCCACGTGCCTTGGCGTATTGGACAATATTGCGGATGTCCTGTGGCGTGTATATTTCGCGAGGGGAGTAGGCGCCCTTGATCATTTGTGGGTAGCGGTTAATCTGAACTGGCCAGGACTGAGAGTCAGTCAAGTGCCAATGGAGAACGTTGAGCTTCGCCAACGCCATTCCGTTGAGTTGTTCTTTGATTTTATGAAGGCTGATGAAGTTGCGGGCACTGTCAATCATGATACCACGATACGGGTACAGAGGCTTGTCCTTGATGGAGACTGGCTGCTCGACGATCAGCCGTTTGCCGTCAGCGATGACGATCTGCTGGAGTGTAGTAAAGGCATGCAAGGCACCGTAAATCGTATTCGCGGTGATTTCGATAGACTTGGCTCTTTCCTTGATATCCAGAGTGTAAGATTCATCGACGCCATGCTGTAACTCGGCCTTCTCGTTTTTGACTTTAACCATGACAACTCTAATACCCTTTTCTGGGTCATCATCATCATCATCCGAGTCACGTCGTGCCTTTGCGTTGGTCGGGAATGGGTCGAATATTGGAATTGGTTTTTCGACTGTGGCGGGGGTCCATCTGATGGTTTTGATGGTCTCTTTTGCGCGCTTGAAGGCATCCGTCACAATCTCGTTCCTGCTCCCTCTTATCTCAAGTTTCTCGCTGATTTGGATCGGGCCGGAAGTTCCCCAGGTGATTTCAACGGGAGCTGGGAGTGGGTTGACTTTAACAGCTTCCACTGCAACACCTGCAAAGCATATCGCTGTGGCCGCAGCCTGTAGCAACCCCTGGAGGTGCATGTTCGGTGGGTTAAAAGAATGTCGGTCAGTTGAAGGAGAGACTGAGGGTCGGTTTCCCTTGCTGATGATTTTATTTTCCTCGTTGGGAGGGGGAAGCAGTGCACCTTATATAGCTGCTGGGGCTGATTGATCGACTTCTGGAGCTACTAGGCTACTTTATCAAGAACGTAAAAAAACAAAGGAATGAAAGAATCAAGTCCTTGGAAATCCACAGGCCTAGTCGCATTTTCCCATGCAACCCCAGCCATGAATAATACGAGTTAAGGTCCAGGACAGAGGCGTCCACGTCGAGAGGGCGTTCTGCAATGTCCTACGCAGTGTGACATTCGGCCTTGGGAAATGCATGGGAAGTCAGTACATGGACCCTTCTCCGCATGCGCCGATACCAAAGTCAATGAAAGCAAACCCCATATTGCTGTGGGCTCTTGGTGGGCATTGAAGGACTGGGCTGAATCGTTTGTTGGTTGGTTGGCTGCGAAGGGTCCCAAGGGACCACCTCGAGCATCTCTCAGTCTTCCAAGAGTTGACAGTCAGGTAGCTGTTGATGCAACATCGAGCATCTTTGAAGGTCACTGTAACTGTGGGGAGACCAAATTTATGGTGCTGATGGATGGGACCGCTAGCAGGGAAGCGCCAGCCATGATCGCTCGAAATTGAGCCCATCCCAGCAGAGACACGGCAAGGTTTGAGCGACGCCACAACACAGCTCAGACCAGACTCGACTCAACGGCCGTTGGAAACACCTCTTTCATTTCTCTGATTTTATGTGGCTGCATAGCGCTTCGTTGTTTCCAACCACCATCTGCTATCAACTCGTCCGTCCGTGTATGATGTATCTATCAACCTCTCCGATGATGTCGCCAATAATGACTAAGAGTGAAAATAAGAATCTGGTTACTCCCACGTGCTGTTCCCGTGTGGACCCACTCGCAACCACCGATTGCAATCATCGCGAGGTTTTTTTTTTTTTTTTTTTTTTTTTCCTCGACATCCTCTCTCGCCCGCTTCTTCACACTGCTGTCACAGATACCTACAGGTCTCCAGTGGACACATGGCTTTCAACGGGATTTCCTCGAGCCCATAGCCTTAGTTGGGTTGGATTAATTCAACAAATCCAACTACATAATTTGGCGTTGGGTAAAAAGAATGCTTCTGCAGAATAAACGAGATCCGGGACGCTACGGCGTACTGGGTGGGCGTGGATTCTCGAAAGTTTGTTTGACTTGAATTAACTAACTAGTCCAGCCGGAGGGAAGAGCAGGATTTGTCTCATTATTCCCAAGCCATAATGATAACAGATACGGGGCAGCATTGTGTGGTTCGTATTCCTCCTGGTTTTGTAAAGCGAAATTGCAGACCAAGAATGGTTCTGGGCTTCCATCTTGCGGCCGCAGACAGGTTATCTCAATATCCTGTGGCTTCAGTTCTGTGACATTTACTGACATTGCAAGACGCCTGACACTTGTGGTTGTTGCGCTTGTTATTGATACTTCTCCTCAAGCAGGCGCGGTATTGGTTGATCGACTCCGCAGAGAATGCACGGGAGGCCGATTCCGTTGCAAGAGACTCTGAAGGAAGTCTAAACGACGTGATCTGTGGGGCGGTGTCGGCGGGTAGTTAACTAACTAACCCAGCTGCCTAATTAGTAATAGGGCGAAGAAACTCCAGAGATGAATATGGGGTCATGGGGAGTAATATGGAGAGGAAAAGAACGCTGCGGGAAGAAGATATGCCCGGTTGAGGGGGAAAAGAGATAATCAATAATAACAAGAGAATAATCGCGGTGCTCTCTGGAGCAGTAGCGGATTGTTGCTATCCTCATAGCTCCTGAGGAATAATCCGAAGGTCTCTTCACCCAGCTCAGGGGCTAAAAGTCAGTCATGCTAGCTCGTTCCTCACGAACTACCCCGCGGACTAAACGCACTAAAATGGTATTCTTCAGCGAATTGAGTAAGAAGACGCTCCAGGATCTGTGGGACACGCGCCTCTCCGCATGCTCTGCGGCTCACCCGCTTTACCACTGACCATGTTGATGGTATCATCGTCTCGTCGCATCGACCGACCTTCCAATGGAACAACACTATCGCTGTTCGAAATCCACCCCGGGCGGATTTCTCTGATGATGTCGTTGACTTACACCTCCACCGAGTATCACACCACAAAAGGACAAATTCATTCTTTCTGCTCTCTGAGCAGCAACCCTGAGGATTTGTCAATGAGCCGTCTAAGGATAGGAACTTGGCGAGCAATTAAGCGCCTGGCGAGGAACGAACACTGGTTCCCGGTTTGGATAAAATGAGAACAGGACCTGGACTCCCGCCCCAATTGCCAGGTTCCTGCATCAGAAACCTTCCGGTGTGGATACGATGCGCAGGAAAAGCCCCCGTCTCATCAAACATCCCCACACCAACTTGTCAGCATCCGAAGATCGGCACATTGTTCTGTATCTTGCCGGATGAACTTCCCCGAGCTATAAAACTATACCTACTGGGTAGTCTTGTTTTTTCAATGGGAACCTGGCACGCCACATCTAGACCAGATCAAGGTAACGGGCATCAACGTCCGTTCAAACAACGAAAATAATTATGTCCAGGCTTGGCTCAATCTTATCCAAGCAGCCGCCTGTCAACAAAATTAATAGCACAGCTTGGCTCTAAAGGTGAAAAACAAAGATCCTTTTGTTTTTGGGAACACAAGCATGTAACTAACTCCTTTTGCAGACAAGAAATCGGAAATGGTCTGCTTGGAAACACATATTACCGCTCTATTCATTAAGCGAACTAGTTATGGCGTGACTTCCTCCAAGCTCTTGGAAGGAGAAATCCCACATCCTCAACTCCACACACCAGTGAGTGGCCCAGATTACTCGATGTCGAAGTGACCCGAACAGACACCTACAGCAGATAAAACCTTGATATGATGGAGAGGAAACACCGAGTAGCCCGCCACATCACGCAATATGGAGGCCTGCCTCGGCATATCCAGATGCAGGACAACATCGGGGCTCCACATACTCAACGTTTCATGGCATGAAGGATGCGTGCTGGCGTTGATGAGGATGAATAATGAAAAGGATGAAGCAAGCAAGCCTCATTATTCCAGATACAATCTTAGCGGCCGCCTAGAACGTTTTGAAAATGACAGGCTGAGTGGGGCCCTACTGTTGCATGTGCATTATTCACCGGTGCATAATAGTGCATTAGCATTTGTATTGAAGAATACATCATCATTATTAAATTATTGTCCTGAGTGGAATAAGCCATAATTAATAATAATAATGTATGTACTCTGTACATGTACATCGAGATGAACGCACCCCTGGAGCCTAGAGCTTGGATTCTGGGACGGGACGTGCCTTGGTTCCTGTACTGTACTACTGACTAGAGCTCGCATTTCGCAGGGCCCACCAGGGCCTATTAGAATAAAATCTCTTTTCTTTCTGCTCAAGGAAGTGCTTCCTTCCAAAGCATGATGAATAATATAATGCGCCAATTGTAGGCTACTGGGGCAAAAGAGCTCAATCACCACCAGCGCCTGCTGGTAGAAGGGCCGACCAACCGCGGGACCCCCAACACCAATTGCCATCAAACAACTCATGTCAGAATACGAGAACTTCCCCCTCCAGTGAAAACTATAATTTCTTTCTCGGTGAGGTGTAACAGTTCTTATGATTGCGGGTATAGTGTAGGTAACATAATTTTGTTTCATTGAGGAGAGGACTGCTCTACATTTTTCTTGTCAATATTCTTTTTCACAACTCAGGGCATCCCGGATACCCCATCTAAATGGCGGCCATCATTTCTTCCAGAGAAAAACATAGGAACGACAAAAATCTCCAATATGAGAAGAGATCGAAGAGGGCGACGGGTAAGACCTAATCTTGCGCGCCACAATCAAATTCTAAAACTTGCAGTTCTTAAACAAGTAAGTTAACCAGGACAAAGAAAATAAAGCAAGAAGAAACTCACAAAACAATATTGTAGAAGTCAATGAAACATATCCAGCACAGAAACTGGCAAACCTGACAACATTCCAAGGGGGAAGGAAGAGCCAGATATGTCGAAATGAAGGGACAGAGACAAGGGGAATGAATGGTCATAACTAAAGCGCACATATGGCATGAATCGAGAAGAAGACGCCACATGCCACAGCGCTCAATTTGAGCTCAACAAAGCAACCATAATAATGGTGTGAAAGAAGGAACAAACAAGCCGGGTAGGATGAAAAAAAATCACCTCGGATACACGGGCTAAAATTCCTCCGTTGCAGAACGCAGGGGTTGAATTTGGAGACGTGGTTTGCCCGGTCCCGCCATAAATACAGCAGGGGCGGAGGTCACCTCGTGAGTCTTGAGGATGGGAGGTGTAAGAGGCATGAGAAGGGGGGGCCTGATAAGTTTGGGGTACATTGCGCCCAAACCCCTTATTGTGTTTATCCGCCGCGATGCATCCAGGATGCGTTCTGACGCTCCCGTGTCGTTTTGTCCCAGCTCGGCCTGCTGGTTGGAAGGGGTACGTGCGACCTTTCTTGGAAATACCGTTGTTCGCTCTACGCCTTGCTAATTGTAGTTGTGGGTGTGGCATAGGAGGAGTACTCGCTTTCATGGGGCCAATTCTGCCATTACTTCTATGGATTTTGGCGGTTGTGCTCATGTTGTCTGATGTCTTCTGTCGGGACTTAGACCTTGTCTTCCGAATTTTCTGAAAGGCGGAGGCAGCTTTATGCTTACTTTTCGCCAGCCTTGCGGTACATGCGGTGACCTCCCGAAGACGAACAACGTGGGTTTCCTTTTCCGCGGCACAATTGCGCCCATGAATCTCGACACGACTATACATATCCCGTCGACTCTCGATTGTAAAATTATCCAAAATTCTAGCTAATAGCTTGCCATCTCTTGACCAGCTGGCACCATTCAACAAAGAGGTCACGGAGCGTGTTGTGTACCTCGAAGAAGGAGCGGTAGGCGGAGAAATAGGCATGGCGATGGCGGGCCAGTTCTTGGAATACGACCATATCGGCTGGAACCAATTCTGCCTTCATTTGATATTATGAGTTGCGATAGTTCGTTATAGTCGATGGAGGGGTTAGGTTCCCCAGATTCAGGGTTGGGTGGATTGCCGAAAAGGACGGCGCTTTTGGAACCAGCGACCTCGACGTAATTGCAAATGGAGAGGACGATGACTGTGTCCTGTGATATTGCTTCCTCAAAAGGGCTGGTGATGGGAATCCCACACTCTCGCGATTCATTTTCCCTTGTGGTCGCCTCTTTGTGTTCGCCCTCTGCTATGTCGGTCGGACTAGGCCTCTCTATTCCAAGTGGTTGGACGGAAATAGGGAACGAATTCTTTTAATCTGATAGCTCAGTACTCCCGCTAATGAATAGAGAGAATGGAAACAAGGTATAAACATTATGGAGGTAAAGTCTGTAAGTATAACTAGTATTATATAAGATTAGAGAAATGAAGTTGCTTCAATATGCATGTATATATGTGTGTGTGCGTGTGTGCGTGTGTGCGTATGCGGCGGGGGTATCCAGGCAATGAGAGGAATGATGCGATGTGATGCTGAGGAGTGAATATACAAACGTGTCCGTGGGCTATGTAGAAAAGAAAAACAAAGGAGCTTGGGAAAGACAATGTAAGAATCAACAGACAGCCTTTGCTATGTAAGAGAAAAAAGTGATTAGTTCTAATGGTTCCCCTTCGCAAGGATAAAACAACCCAACTCCCTGAATCCCGAGAATAGATACAGGGTCTATATCATGATTGCAACACTGAGAAATCGACAGTCCTTATCGCTAAAAATGAAAATGAAGAAATTTCCCCGCTTTCAAAGAAGCATTAACAAGAGCTTGTCCAGAAGAAGGATGAAACCCATCAACATTATTAGCATCGGCTGGATGAGCTGTGGCTTGCGGAAGACATATTTTCCATATTTCGATGGATAGAGAGCAGACCCAATGACTAGCTCTTCCTACTGCAGTCCAATTAATAAAGACCATTGGTATAATAACGTTAGAGAAATTATACCAAACCTGGCTTGAACATAAGTGTTCGTTGTTGAAGGACGAAGTTGTCACTTATGCTTGATGCTTCATGCCTCATTCGAACGAGGTAGATCGATATCAACAACCCAGGGGGCATGTACTGGGTCATATTGAACAGTGACGATGCTGGCGTTGACAAACAATGTCTCCTCTCCAACCTTCAACGGCTTCTCACCACCATCACGGCTGACATTAATGTAGGAAGCTCGATCCTTGAGCACAGTCGTTTGATCCAGCTTTATATTCGTTACTTTCTCCCCCGCCCATTCCATCCGCTGGGCACCATATCCTTCATGAATGTGGCCAAAACAGTGTAGTCGAGGCTTAGCTCGGGTAACCGCCCGTCGAAGGTGGTCGCAACCGACTGGTTCACAGCTGATGGTCTCGTCCATGACCCCTCGTGGTGGGCCGTGAGTTAACATAACATCCACAGCAGGGAAATCGGGTACTGGGTTTTGCGCAACGAATTGCGCGCCTTCTTGGGCGTGGTTGAATCGGTCTTGGTGGCGCTTGTATGCGAAAGCCCATCGACAGAATTCTGGCTGGTAGGGAGAGGCATAGACAGTGAATCTGGCGCCATTTTTCAGCGTGAACGTTCTCAACTCCTCATCCATGTAGACGATGCCATGTTTCCGGGCCTCCTCCCCACAGTACATCTCCCTGATCTTAACCAGGTCTTCCCTTGCTCTATGTCGACGATACCCGAAGCTATTATAGTAGTCCTCATCAAGCGTGATGTCATGGTTCCCCGCAATGACAATCTTTAGCTCTGCATCCGCGTTCTTGAGCATGCCAATTGTCGCCTGATGCTCACTCTCCTTTCCGACCATGGTGAGGTCGCCGGCGTGTAGGAGAACATCTGAGGTGGGGAAAGGCAATCGGAATGGAGACCAATTGTCTGGCGGCAACGGCGTGTATGTATGGGTATCGGAAATGATGCAGAAGCGGGTTTTCACCTCGCTTGGGGGACTGTTCGCCTCCATGCTTCTGTGTTCCGACTCCGTACGACGATTGTTGAACGGTCGTTGGGGCTTAGACTCGGGATGGGATGGCGCCGGGAATAAAAAGGACGTTGTCGTTGCGGGTGATAAAACTAACTGCCTAGGATGGTTAGCTGGCGAAATGCCTGCGCAAGCTTAGGTGATCAAAATTTCAATTGGCCACGAAAAAAGAAAAACCAGGGCCATTTCGCCAGCCAGGGAGTGGACACATCCGTGCCGTTTTGGTTCAATATGTGGAGGGGAATTATTAATTCCTGGCGGAGATATTTACGAGATACACATTGTAATGGAAAGGTCACTTTTATTTCTGAACGTAGGGACGGGTTTCGAGACAGTTAAAGTGAAAAGGAATAGAAAAATACACCCAATGAGATATTCCACGTAAACAAAAATGAAGTAAAAAAGAAAGTTCCATTCCGATAGGTAAAAAAAGTTCAGAGCTCTACAGACATCCCATCCTAGCAGGCGCTGTATTAAGTATCACATAATTTTATTTCGAAAATTTGCTGAACTCCAACCGAACCCATCAATCATCAGAGCAACGCAACCCTGCCTCCCACGCCCGCTCTACTTCCTGATCGCACGCTGGTAGAACGCCAACTCCTCTCCTTCCAGGATATATCCATCAACACGCCCACTCTGGCCAGGCCGCGAGGAAACGACAGCGTACAGCCGACCGGCCTCGAACTGTTTTTCGAGGGCCGCCTCAACCTTTCCTTGAGCGGCGAACCGTGCCGCTTGCTTCTTTTCTACACTCTTGCTCTTCTTCTCCTCCGTAACCTCAACACCGGACTTTTGTTGGCGTCTTCGGCCGAGGGGTTGGCCGTAATGGGCCTCATACCATTGTCTGAAGGGGGCAGCGTCGACTTGGACAACGGCGGACTTGGTGAGGGTATTTGTGCGGACGAGTTCGTTGTTGGAGGGATGGTATGCGACGACAATCACACGGACCTTGCGGGCAATGCCCTCAGAGCCCCACGAGAAGTTGCCAGACTCGAGACGGAGACCACGGAACTTCTGGTTGCCGCCACGGGTACGGACGAGATGGATTCTCTTAGGTCCAATACGAGTGTTCGCGGGTTGGCGACCCTTTTCGAAAGCTCTGTAAAAATTGGGAAAAAACGAATAGTGAGAAGTCTGCGCTAAATGAAAATATCTCTCTCCGCATCCCTCCTAAAATAAAGGAACGATATTGGCACAGTATAATCGCCATACCTCTTCTTGCGGAACTGAGCTTTTTTCGCACCGGTGGCCGAACGCTTGTGGCGGGAATCTCGTGAGATACCCATGATTGCGGTTGATGGACGGGACTACTGGAAAGGAAGAAGCCCAAAGGTCAGTATTTCAATCGATCCAAGTGATAGTAAAGACCGTAGGTTTCCCGCGATGAATTTTCCAATGGTGTGGTCTTTTGCTGGATATTGTCATCGCACACAATCACTGTCCAGGGAGTAGCGGGGATGCCCTTATTCTCCACAGTAAAAAACACCGCAGAACCTCGAATTCGCGTCTCAAACACACAGAACTAGGAACAAAAACAGAGAGGAGGAAAATTCTCACCTCGTATCGTGGAGTCCTTCACCAGAATATCGCAGGGTGGTCGGCGGTGGTGAGTTTGGCGTGAGGTTGAAGCTTGTCGTCGTCAGGAATGCAGAATTTCGCACAGTGAGCTCGCTTGTTGAAAATGCCATGCCCTAAGAAGCGACGCTAGGCCAAATCGGGACTGGTGTTCCCAACTTCCACACCCAGTTTGATAACTCGCCAGGAAAAAGTTTGTACGAGGGAGAACGAGCAGATATGGCTAATGGCCTTATACGCGGGAAACGGGGCGTTTATTTTCTACGAGTGTTCTAGATGTCAAGCAGCATGGCGTCTAACTGCAGTATTGGGCGGCGATGCTTGCTTTGTCGACGCGAGTGTGTCTTGGCGATATTTCTTACCGTTGGAGATCAACAACAGGATCATTGAATGAAATGTTAACCTTTGAGCCCTCGGAGATTCCAGATGTTGGAATTTGAGGAATTTGAGTCACTCCATCCTCAGGTTTGCTATGCCGTCCGCATTTAAGGAAACCAGAAGTAGACTCAAGAATTCTACTTCCACGCGTTCACAATTTGTCTGCATGCCCTTCCTCTCTCCTTTCTTTGAAAAGACTTTGGAAAGACATAACCACAAACTGTGGGCTTACGACGTGGAAGTAAGGCCTAGAACAAAACATGTGAATTTCCCTTAGCCTCACAGGAATGGATGCTTCAATACACGCCAAACCTTAGGCTCCACCGTTCTCACAGACTGTTTGTTAAATCCCTTCGAAGGATGTCTTAGGTAACCTTGGAATTCATTATGATCGGAGAAAGCGAAACATGAAAGACTATAGATATGTGACAATGCAACACGTTGAAGTCGAACGACAAAAGGGAAGGGGAAAAGAAAACAGGTACATATCCAAATTCAAAATAAAAACAACAAAGCTAAAGAAAAACTCGCCTTCCCTGATCCAAGTTGATATCCGTTCAATCAACACAGCGGTTGTATCACTTGAAGTTCCCGATGTTACCATTGAAAGCCGCATTTCGTGCTAGAAAGAATCGACCGGACCATTACGCCACGTACGACACACAATTTGTACTTCGAAACGGGTACTCGAAAGGGAAAATGAAGGTGGGACGTCTTATTTTCTATGCACTGCCAATTTAAGACCTTCACGATTAATGTCACGCTCAGCAAGTCTTCCATTAAAGGATATGCAGGGATTTAACTCGCGGAGTGGAGAGGGGGGCGGAACCAAAAACGGACGAGGCGAAGGAGAACGAGCACCAAGATCCTGATGGCCCAATGCCAACGGAATGGGAACTCCTCAAGCAAGAAGATCAACAATCTAAAGAGGTTAAGAGGGCTTTACTTACAGAAGAGCGAGTGTCAGATCGCCATG